AATTTATGGAAAGCTAGGTTGGGCAAATATTTGTTTGTCTAAGGAATTCACAAAGAAGAGGCTGTACAGGGAATCAGAGTCCGGTTTCTACAATGGAAAGGAGGGTGAAGGGAATGAAGCCAGGTTTACCCCAGGGAGTGGTGTCTAGTTCGGCTAAACTAAGGTGAACATCATCAGGGATGTTGTAGTCCCTTCGGAACTCGGCCATAGCCCCTGGAGAGTTTACTAAGAATCTATACTTCCCCATGTCGACTATAATTATGTATAATTTAGCTCGGTGTTGAGATGAATTTCAGTATCTCGGTTGAGCGGGCAAAGGTGTGCCTGGCCAACCTAGTCAGTCTGCAAAGTGAAAAGGAAAAAGTGTTAAGCACAGATCGTTGGACCATGCTAAAAATAACAAAGGTAAAATAAATGTTGTCCTAGCTCGGCTACGTCGGATACTATTCATTCTTAGCTCGGTTTGAGCAGGGGACTTTAGCCCGGTTAAGTGAATGAGAAGTTCGTAGCCCGGTTGAGGCTCATGATACAGCATTCTTAGTTCGGTTTTGACAAAATCGGAGCTGGTTTGGCCCCAAGTTATAGCTCGGTCGTCAGTTGAGGTTGTCTAGCGCGGTATTGCGCAAGCCTAATACAGTTCGCTAGCTCGGCTAAGTGAAACAGAAGGTACTTAGACCTATTGAAACTGCAGGTATGGCGTGAAGTTTTAGTCCGGTTGTTAGAAGAGTTATCAAGTCTGGCTAAGCTGGCACCTAATACAAACAAGATCCTAGTTCGGTTAGAGCATTATTTTGGATCAAAAGCGTCGTTTCTCAAATTATACGTGAATCTAGTGGTTCTATTGCACGGCTTTTTCCTAGAAAAATGGAAGCTAAGAAAGTATGTTTTGAGAAACATATGAATAATATGCTATGTATCACAAAACAAATGTGAAATCAATAGAAAGGAAACGGGTTTGAGCTACATACTAGTTCAAGATGAAGGAACTGAAGATAGAAACAATATCAGCAAAAACACGAGCTTTGCAGATGCAATGTTGAGGAGAAATGGAAACTCAGAGAGTGTGAGAGAGAAGGTGAACAGGAGTGTCTTTGATTCAAAAAAGAGGTTTTTCGTATAAGGCAAAGAAAAGGCGGGATTGTTCAAAAATTTCCGAGTACGAGGGCGGCGTTGACAGCTGTACTCAACCAGTAGGGGTCAGCCACATGTTTGCCGAATAGCAAGCGATTCAGATGACAGCATGACTGAAGAGACGTTCTTTGACCGAACCAATCGGTAGCCCGGCAGCATTTTATCTCGGTTAAAAGACTAAAGTTTTTAGCTCGGCTGGTAACAGGTAATCCCAATCATGCTACGCAGATAGAATTAAGAGGCAATTGAGAGGGTAATTTATAAGTAAATTGGGCCGAGCTAAGGAATTGCCTTCTTTGTAAGTTGGGCCGCACATTGGGCCGGGGTAGGAGTTGATATAGCTCGGTCTAAGTGCTAACTAGTGGGGCCTAGTTGAGGTTCGGACCGAGCTAATCATCACAGATAGTCGCGCCGAGGTAACGACGCCATTCTGCATAGTTAGCTCGGTCATTAGTTGTTAACCCAGTTGGAGTACGCCAAACTGAGGTACAGGCTATGAATAGAAGAACCGAGCTAGTTAGAGCTCGATCATTTTTGCCGCTTTAGCATGGCCATGTTAGCTCGGTCGTATTGTCAACCAACCGTGGTAAAACCATCTCACTTGGTTTAAGTAGTGAGGGGGGTGTTGAAAGATAAGCATTATCTTTCAAGAGTGTGATTCCTAAGAGGACTCCACCTGGAGGAATAAGAGTCCTACCAGGATTGTGCCACACAGAACCTATAAAAGCTCATAACAGAACCTATGGAAGAGGTAACACAACTTTGATTCTCGAATACACAGAGTTTTTTGTCTATTTGTCTATTTTGCTGACTTAGGCATTGGAGAGGTATCCGGCACACATCCGCCAGCTAGCTCACGTTTGTGTTTTCAGGGAATAAAGCAACAACGTTTGGAGGAGCGCAGACTTGATCAGCAGGATTATACGAGAACATTATTTCTTGCTCTTACACTTGCATATTAGTGACACACACATTTAAATTTTAAAATAATTGAGCATACTTTCTTTTTAGAAGTCGTAATTTATAAAATAATTAAAGTTTAATTGTTATGGTTAAATAGGAGTTAACCAGTAGACTTTTTTAAAAATAAAAAATATTAAATTTTACTAAATTGCTTTCATATATAGTGGCATACAAATTTAAATTTTGAAATAATTGAGCATATTTTCTTTTTAAAAACCATAATTTATGAAATAATTAGAGTTTTATTGTTATGATTAAATTAGAGTTCAACCAACATAATGTTTTTTATTATTTAAAAATTCAAAAAATCATAAAATTTAGTTTGAGGATTTAGAACTCTCACAAGTCTTATCATTAAAAATTTCTTTTTGCTTATATAATATGTACAAAGATAAATAGATTACACCAAGCCTAGGAGCATCTCTAATGGTTGTTGCTATATTGCCACTGCCATTGCTATTGCTATAATTTGGCAATGAATAGTGTTATTTTGCCAAATTATAGCAATGGTACTCCAATGGTCATTTTCTATTTTGGTAAATCCCAACCAACTTTGCCTCCAAATTTGTAGGTGTTGTTTGGATATAGGTTTTTTTGTGATTTTTTTTTTTTTTTGTCTTTTGTGACTTTTTTTTAACCGTTTGTAAAAAAAAATTATACATTTATATTATTCCCGACTAGACAAATATAAAAATGAAAAAAAATTGAAAAATTGAAAAATAAATAAATAAATATATTTTATCTTTTTATTGCCTTCATTTGAAAAAATATATTTATTTTCTCATTATACCTTATTAAAAAAATTAAATTATACTAAAGTATTTTGCTACATTATACATTGCAAAAATAATATTACATTCTTTTGTAGAAAATACTCAAAAATAAAAACAAATATGAAATTTCATTACAAAATAAAAATATGAGGACCACTTGGAAAAAATTTCATTACATTATCCCGTAATTATTCATCAGGAGGCAGGGGGAAATAGTAATTTGGGCTGTTAACATTTGAGGACCACTTGGCGAAAATCTCATTTTTTCGCATTGTGTAATATGCTTTCGTCTGAAAGTCCAAATGAGAAATGTCCGTAGTCATTATCATATGTTCTTCCTTTTTCATCTCATGTTCTTGTTTTCTGATCTCAAAGTCATGTTTTTTCATCTCAAGTTCTTTCATCTCCTGCAGTGCTTGAATTATTTTTTCTTCTCTTTCATCTTTTTTATTTTCCTTCTCAGCAAGGTATTGGTTAAATGTGTCCAATTGTGTGCTCATTTTTTGAACTTCAGCTTGAACAACTTAATTTTTCCGAAATAATTCTTTTGCAGCTTTCCTACCCATAGGCCTTTTACCTTTTGCAGAGACACTGCCCTCACCAACAGTTGGATTGTTACTGTGTGAGTGAAAATCTGACCACACTGCCCGTTTAGTGATCAGCTGGAGAGCACAGGCAGAATAGATGGTTTCAGTAACCTGTAACAGAAAAATAAGGCTCCGGCGGTGGTTCTTCCACCCGGGGGCACTCCGACGATCAAGTCAGTATATCTCTCAAAGATAATCAAGTGCTAAACTTAATACTCAAACATAAATTGCATACCTTCGACCCACGGGGGTGCCTCTATTTTATAATATATTCAATCCAAGTCCCATTAGAAGTATGACTTCTATGAACTTCAAATCAGTGTTTACTTTTGGACTCTTTACGAGATAAAGATAAACTCCCTATGAGCTTTATCCTTATCTTGGTTAAGTCCCCTCTTCGTCTTAGGACTCTTGTCCCTTATCTCGGATTCCGATATCTTTGGAGATAACCTCGGCTTCACCGAGGTCATCTCGGCTCAACAATCAGGACACGTGGCACCTCGGCTGACACGTCGGCGTCACCACGCCACGTGTTGGTATTCAGAAAATATATCCCCACAACTGCCCCCTAGATTCTATTACCTCGGCATTTCTGAGATGATGGAACCTATACCGATATTTCGATATTCCTTTTCTGAGTAACGGCTGAAAAACTGTTTAGCCGAGATAATTCACTTCCAGCCGACGTGTTCTCTTCGGAGAACAAGGTTTCGAACGTACTTTCCCACGCGCATGAGCTGTCATGCATATCTAACCGTTCCTTTTACGTGTTTTGTTTTCATTGGAGCGTGTCGGTGACGCGCCTAAAAGCTGTCTGTCTGCGCCGCCTGACGCGTGCGTTGCTCTAGGCGTAATAATTGCCCTAATTTTGCCGCCGTTTCAAATTTTTAACAAAACTCTTCTTTGCCTCTATTTTTCCTTCACCTTTTCATTCTGATTTCTTGCTCTTTCTCTCTCCGAAAGCTCTTTCTTCTTCGAATCTACCATTGCTTCGATCTCTCTTCTGGAACTGTCCTTAATCTCCCATTCTTGCGAAGCTTTCTTTGCTGTTGCTACTGATTTCTGAGCTCGGCGAACATTGCCCCGGCTTTATTTGTTCTGGTAAGATTCTTTCCTTTCATTCTAAAAAAATTTTTCATGAGCTTTTGTCTGTCTGTTGTCATTGTTGCTTTTGTTTGAAACCTTGGATTTATTTGTATCTTGGATTGTGGCTACATCTCAAACTTTTGCACTATTTCACCACTTTTCTTGCCACTGTTCTTGATTTTTTACTTCTGTATTTCTTTTGTTTCTGAGAACTATACCTCTGTTCTTGAATCTAAAATTATGTCTCTGTTTTCTGTTTTTCGTATCTGTCCCAGATCTGTGCCTTCGATTTTGATCTTTTTAGTTCTTAGGCTTGGGATTTGTGTGTAGAACCCTTAACTTTCAGGGAAAACTGAAACAAGCCTTATCAATCCTTGCCTAGGTCTTTGCCGAGGTTATTACAACCCTTCTTTAAATGCCCATCCTCTGAAACACATTTTTCTTAGTTTAAGCCGTCATAATGGGTATGTGGAGGCATAGGGTAAACACCCCAACAAAGCTGGAATACTTTAGGCAGAAATTCTCTATCCCAGCCGATGTTCATCTCAAACTAGCTGGGGATGGTGATACCATCATGCCCACAGACCATACGATGCCCTTCCCTATAGTAGCTTTTACGGAATGTGGACTTCGGCTTCCACTCGATCCTTTGTTTCGCAAAGTTCTTAATTTCTATAGGCTGAACCCCATGCAACTTACTATCAACTCCTATAGGGTCATTAACGGCATTATAGCTTTAGCTAGGCAAGAGAATCTTAGAATTACCCTGGCCGACCTTCAGTACTGCTATACCATGTGTCCCCTTAACCTGAAAGATAGGGGCTTTGTTTATTACCTTAAGCCGAGGTCTACTGAGTACAAAATTGTAGCCGACCTCCCAGACTCCAACAAGGGGGCTGGGGATGACTTTCTTATCGCTTCGGGAAACTGGGAATTTGGCCCAGATGAAGATGTCCACCTCTACCCTCTTCCTCGAACAATTACAGAGGGCAAGGGTAAGAGCCCAGTGCCAACGCTTAATTGTTTTTTATTTAAGTCTTTAATACTTTCTGCTTCTGATGTCTGTTTTTTTTTTTCTGCAGATCTTCATCAGCTACCAAAAAATTTTCGCCAATCCTTTTTCCCAGGAAAAGATCTGAAAAGACTCCTTGACCTTCCTATCCACAAACGGAAAGCTCCACTGCTACTAAACTTCATCCCTACATATAAATCCACACTGCCCGACATCCCAAAAAGGAAGAAAAAGAGTCTTTCCCCTCCTACTGCCACAACTGTAACCGCGTCTTCATCCAGAACAGATCAAGGATCTACTTCTGACCCAGCCGATCTTCCATCTACTTCGGCCCCCTACTTAGTACCAATCCCTGAACGCAAACGTCGACGAAGACTTGTAAAGACTGCCGAGATGGTTCGTTCAATGCCTGTCGTTCAAGATCTTCTTGCCGACCTTCCAACTGATGCCGACGCTGTACCAACGCAATCAATGCCCCCACCAAAGCCGAAGAGAGTTAAGAAGGCTCAGCCCAAGGTCAAGGCTACAGATGCTGAGGCTGATGATGCTTTGCCTATTTCCAAACTGGCAGAGAGCAAAAAATCAACCTCTGCTTCCGCCAAGAGGTCTGCTGAGGGCCAACCCTCAGGGTCTACACAATCAAAGAGGCCAAGGCCATCGTCCGCGATGACCTCGGCGTCGAAGAAGCCCGACGTCCCCTGGGCTCCTCAACTAACTCTGGAGGATAGGCCCATTATGGCCAGTGAAAGTGCTGACGACATTAACGTTGGTGTCACTCTCAGTACTGCTCTCCTCCTCCCAAACGATTTGGAGCGCAATGCCGACCTCAGCGAGTATGAGAATTACGCTCTCATGCTCCAACACTCCGTTCAAGTAAGTGTTTCTTGTTTGCACTTGTGATTTTTACTTCTGTTTCTTACTGAGAATATTTTCTGACACTTCTGTTTTCTTTCAGGCTATCCAACACGCCCATTCATTTTCAATGCAATCCTTTGAAAATCGTCAAAGATTGGTTGATATGAAGAGGGAGGCGTCCTCTCTGAGAAAGGAGATAAAGTCTCTTGAATCAAAGATGAAGAGGCTGGAGGACCAGGCCGAAGCTGCCACCAAGGCCCAGCAAATGGCCGAGGAGAAGGCCGAATCCGCTAAGGCCGTTAAAAAAGTTGCTGAGGCCGAGAAAAAAGAGGCTGAAGTAAAAAAGGCCCAAGCTGAGAAGGAGCTCCAGCAGGCTTTGGCCACCAAGGAGGCCGAAGTCAAAGAGGCCGATGAAAAGGCCTATGCCCAGGGCATGGCTGATGTCGCAGAGGATTATAAGCTTCAAGTCAGGCAGGCATGCAACAGGGGATTTTCCCTAGGTTGGATGTCCCTGATAAAAAAGCTTGATCTTCCTGTTGACTCGCCTTTGCGTAATGCCAATGCTATCCGTTTACCATTTCCTCCTCCAAGTCAGACTGAAGGCGAATCAGAGACTGAGGCTGATGCTGAGGATGAGGATGAAGAAAAAAATGATGATGAAGCCTTCGTGAGGAAATCCAAGGATGGTGCTGAAGCCAAGTCCCCTCCTCCTGCTGAGCAGGTTATGGACTTAACCTTGGATGAGGAGGGCGATGAGGTTGAGGAGGCAACCAAGGAAATTGTCACTGGGCAGCTATCGTCCGATCTTCTCTTGGTAGAAAGAAGTGTTGAGAAATCATTAGCAGAGATTGATGCCGAGATACAAGCGGAAAAAGTGGCCGACGAGGTTCCACCAGAATCATCCGAGGTCCTAGTCCCTGCAGCTGCTAACACTGAAGAGTCTTGAAAAATGTCTTTTGTTACTTTTTTTCCTGTATTTTGCACTTTGTACTCTTTTAATTTCTGGATAATGCAAAACTTCTTCTTAAGGCCGACGTAGTTTTTTCTCTATGTAACTGCAACAGTTCCTTCTATGAATGTTTTTAATCTTCCGATGTTCTGTTTATTGCTTCTGCATAGTTCTATACTTAGAAATTTTTGCATGCTTTCTTATTTTGCTTCCTTTGTGTAATCTTCTCGGGGTTACATACCTCGGGTATAACTACAAAGCTTTTACTTCGGCAAGATACTGACCTGCAAACTTTTCATAAATTTTAACAAGTATAAAACATATACCACTTAATGTAAATTTTGCAAGCTTCTTCTCAAGTTTCAACAAGTATTTAAACAGTGATCTTGGTCTAACCTACTTGTAAATTGCTACAAATTTCAACAAGTAGTAAACAATATACTTAGCCTTTACTTTAACCTGTAAATTTCTGTATACCTCAGCGGGTGATCATATGTCGGCTTAACATAAACTTGTAAATTGCTACAACTTTCAACAAGTTTAAGCATCTTCTCTAGGTTTAAGCAACCCATATATTGCTATGAGAACTTAAGCAATAACCGCGGCTTAACTTCAACTTGTAAATTGCTACAAATTTCAACAAGTGAGGATAAGGAATCAGCTTAATTCCAACTTGTAAATTGCTACAAATTTCAACAAGTGAATTAAGGAATAATCTCGGCCTATTCTTTGCCCCCAATGTGAACTTGAGTTTGACTCGGGTTCACATTAATTATGTCTTTAATAAACAACAATGCATAACTTTATCAATCATATGTGTTGAAAGAATTCTGAAAAGACTTTATTGATGATATCGGTCAAAAAATGATGCTCATCTAATGATAGAAAAATTTCAAATTACAAGTATTCCAAGGTCTGGGCAATGCTTTGCCCTCATTGTCCTCAAGCCGATAAGCTCCATTGCCTAATACTGAAGTAATTCTGTAGGGTCCTTCCCAGTTTGGGCCAAGCTTGCCTTCCCTGGGATCCTTCTTGTTCCCGACGACTTTTCTCAGGACTAGGTCGCCGACTTGAAAATCTCTTGGATTGACCTTCTTGTTGTAAGCTCTGGCAAACTGTTGCTGATATACTGCAAGGTGAATTGCAGCTTTCTCTCTTCGTTCTTCCAACAAATCCAGATCTCGGGCTAAGAGTATGTCATTGGTGCCATTCTCTACTCCCTGGGTTCTGATCCCTGGGATTCCGATCTCCAATGGTATGACCGCTTCTGTGCCATAAGCCATGGCAAAGGGGATTCTCCTGTTGATCTTCTCGGCGTAGTCCGATATGCCCAAAGTACGTTGGGTAACTCGTCTACCCACTTTCCTTTTGCTGCTTGCAGCCTCTTCTTTATTCCATCCAAGATTACTTTGTTAGATGCTTCTGCTTGCCCATTGCTTTGAGGAAAACTTGGTGTTGAGAAGTAATTCTTGATTTTGAATTTTGCACAAAAGTTCTTGATGAGTTTGCTGTCAAACTGTGTTCCGTTGTCGGCAACTATTGCTCTTGGAATCCCAAATCTGGTGATAATGTTTTTCCATATAAAATTCTTGACGTCCACATCTCGGATTTTGGCAAGAGGTTCTGCCTCTATCCATTTTGTAAAGTAGTCTGTTGCTACCAGCAAGTATTTTCTCTACCCAGTTGCCTGGGAAAGTTTTCCAACCAGATCCATGCCCCATTGGGCAAACGGCCAAGGGCTGGATACTGGGTTTAGGTTAGCAGCTGGCTGATGTATCAAAGGTGCAAACCTTTGGCATTGTTCACACTTCTTCACATAGGGTTCGGCATCCTTTTGCATGTAGGGCCACCAATACCCCTGGGTAATGGCCCTGTGGGCTAATGATCTGCCCCCAGCATGGCTTCCACAAATTCTTTCATGAATTTCGTAAAGAAAATCTTCAACCTGCAATGGGTGTACGCACCTTAAGAACGGCCCAGTGAAAGACCTCCTGTAAAGATGACCTTCTGCCGTTAGACTGTATCTGGCCGACTTCAATCTAATTTTATGTGCTTCCTTATGGTCTTCTGGCAGCTTCCCCTCTTTTAGGAATGCAATGATCGCATCCATCCAGCTTGGTCCCAAGTCCACGCACATTACTTCTTGTTCGGTGCTCTGTTTATCAATGCTCGGGGCCGACATGTAGTCGATCATAATTGTCCTTGTTTTTCCAGTTTGAATTGAACTGGCCAGGTTAGCCAACGCGTCGGCGTGGGTGTTGTCATCTCGGCTAACTTGGAGTAATCTGCAGTTCTGAAATAGGGCTGCCAATCTGATGACTTCCTTTGCATATGCCGACATTCTTTCGTCCCTGGCTGCAAATTCTCCTGTTGACTGGTTAACAATGAGTTGTGAATCACAAAAAACAATTACCTCATCTGCTTCTGCAGCTGCTGCCAGCTTTAGCCATGCAATTAATGCTTCATATTCTGCTTCGTTGTTTGAGGCTTTGAACCCCAAACGAATGGACTGTTCTACTATTTCTCCATCTGGAGATATCAGCAGTACTCCTGCCCCTGCTCCCTGGCGGTTTGAACTTCCATCAACGAATAGTCTGAATGAATCGCCGATATAGATGCTGCATGGTCTGAGCTTCTCCTTCTCTTGCTTTTTTGTCTTTGGCTGGGATTCTTTTTGCTTATTGGGACAATGCTCATCTTGGCTCGTCGGAGACCGATGTATGATGGTTTCAGGTGTGAGCTCTGCGACGAAGTCGGCCAAAACTTGGCCCTTTATTGCTGTTCTCGGCCTGAACTCCAGGTCAAATTGGCCCAAGGTTACTGCCCATTTTGCTATCCTTCCTGTTAAGTCTTCTTGTTGCAACAAGGATTTCAGTGGGTGTTCTGTTAGGACCACAATCTTGTGTGCCTGAAAGTAAGGGCTCAACTTCTTTGAAACCATTACTAAGGCCAGCATTAATTTTCCAGTGGTCGGTATCTTGTTTCTGCATCGGCAAAAGTTTTACTTAGATAATAGACAGCCTTTTGCTCCCCTTTTTCCTTTCGGATTAGTACTGCACTGACTGCGTGTTCTGAGACTGCTAAGTACAAAAACAGTTCCTCTCCTGGTACTGGGTTGGAAAGAACCGGAGTTGTGGTCAAGTACTTTTTTAGGTCGGTTAAGGCAGCTTCACATTCTTCTGTCCATAGGAAGTCTGTGGCTTTTTTCACCAGGTTGAAGAAAGGTCTGCACTTATCTGAACTTCTGCTGATGAATCTGTTTAGGGCTGCGGCCCTTCCAGTAAGCATTTGAACTTGTTTTGCCGATGTTAGGCTCTGTAGTTCTAGGATGGCCTTGATTTGGTCTGGGCTGGCCTCAATGCCCTTTCTTGTTACCAAATACCCCAAAAATTTTCCTGATCCAACTCCAAAGGCGCACTTTGAGGCGTTGAGTCGGAGCCGATATCTTTTGAGTATGTCGAAGATCTCTTTTAGGTCGGCAAGATGATCCTTTGATTCCTTGGTCTTTACGACCATGTCATCGATGTAAACTTCTACTGTTTTGCCAATCAGGTGCTTAAACATCTTTGTTACTAACCTCTGATAGGTTGCTCCTGCGTTTTTCAACCCAAAAGGCATTACCTTGTAACAGTACAAGCCTTTAGGGGTGATGAACGCGGTTTTCTCCTCGTCTGGAGGGTACATGGCAATCTGGTGATACCTTCTATATGCATCTAGAAAACTCATCCTTTCGTGTCCTGAAGTAGCATCTACCAGTTGGTCGATTTTGGGCAGAGGAACGCTGTCTTTGGGACAGGCTTTGTTGAGGCTGGTAAAGTCTACACAAACTCTCCATTTGCCATTCTTCTTTTTCACTACTACTGTGTTGGACAGCCATGTTGGGTACTGAACTTCTCGGATGGCCCTGGCCTCCAGGAGTCTGTCTATCTCTTCTTCTACTGCTTCGACGTGCATCAACGTCGGTCTTATGGCTCGTTGAATCACAGGTTTTGCCGATCTGTAGACATTCAGTCTGTGGCAAGTGACCTCGGGGTCAATGCCAGGCATTTCGTAAGGTGTCCAAGCGAACACCTCTATGTTTGTCCTCAAAGAATCTTCCAATTCTCTTTCTTCTTCTCCAGCCAAGGCTGAGCCGAGAAGAAAGAAGCGCTCTTCGTCGCCCTCTTGGATGAAAACTTTTTTTAGTGCCTCTTCGCTTTTTTCGGCTGGTTCTTTCCCGACGTCTTCTAGGACCTCCATGTCCTCATCTTCAACTTCTGCTTTCCTTGGCTCCCGTACACTACAGGTGGACTTCATTGCTGCCATGGAGCAATTTTTTGCTTGTAGTTGATCTCCTCTGACTTCTTCAATCCCATGCTCTGTTGGGAACCATAGTAGTTGATGCAATGTTGAGGGAACTGCCCCCATTGCATACAACCACGGCCTTCCCAAAATGATGTTGTACGGTGAGGGTGTGTCAATTACCAGAAATTCCGTTTTGATCTTCTTAGTGCCGGCTTGTACTTCCAGGCTCGTTGCGCCTAGTGGCCATGTCGGCGTTCCATTAAAGCCGACCATCGGGCCGCTGGATTGTTCTAAGTCATCAGGGTGAAGGCCCAGCTCCTTGTAACATCTGACATACATGATGTCACAAGAGCTGCCTTGATCTATTAGGATGCGTTTCACTTGGCACTCCCCAACCTGGAGGGATACTACCAAAGCATCATTATGGGGATGTTGGACCAATTCCAGGTCGGCTCCAGTAAAGGCTATTATTGGCCCTTGGCATTCTTCTGACCGATGTCTCTTTTCCCCGACTTGGTAGACATGTTGTAAATGTCTTACCCTCTGGGTTTCCCCTCTGACTTCGTTTTCGTTGACCCTTGAGTGGATCACATTAACCACCCTCGGTCCTCCTGCTTATGGTAGCTGTACTGGGGGAGGGGGTGCTGCTGGTGCTTGAGGCAACCTTGCCTGTTCTTCCCTTGTTCTGGCCTCATCGACCAGGTCCCTCAGAA